GCCCAGCCTCCCTCCCCCTCCTCTCCCTCCAGCTGTATGGACCGCCACCACGGGAACAGTGTTATGTGCCAGGACCCTTGTCCCACGGCGTTGCACCCTACGTGAGCTGGGATCCCACCAGCACCTTCCCGAGCCAGAAGGCCGGAGTCTCCATGGACACAGGGAGCCCTGGGCAGCCAGCTCCAGGACACGGGGTGACAGGGACACAAACCAGCGAGGGGACAGGACTGTCCTGGAGAGCTGCTGGCAGCCCCGGCCCTTCTCATCTCCGGCATTCGGAGCCCCGTTCCCCGGACTCACCGGTGGAGAGGAAGCGGTGAGCGGCCAGCAGCAGCTGCGGGGAGATCTTCACCTTGAGCTCGTTGACGGGGTCCTTGAAGGCCGAGAAGTCCCGCTTGTTCTTCTGGTTGCCCACGCGCTTGCGGTTGCGGTTGTCGGCTGTCGGGAGCGGGCGAGCGCCGGCTCCCGCCCGGCCCCGGGGCGCCCGCGACCTACTGTACATGTCCGACTCGTCCAGGATCTCCGACTTGATGATCTCCTCGATGACGTCCTCCAGCGTCACCAGCCCCAGCACCTCGTAGAAAGGGTCCCCCTCGCCCTCGTTGTTCACCTTCTGCACGATGGCCAGGTGGGACTTCCCTGCGGACGCACACGCGGATGAGGGGTCATTCCGGGTCATCTGGCACCCCCAGTGCACAGGGAAAGGACCCTGCACCCAAGGGTGCCGCTGGCACCAAGCACCCGGCCCTTCCCTTGCTGGGATTTGCCCATCCAGGTGCTCCAGGCGGCCGATCCCACCGTTCCCTGCTCCTCCCCAGGGCAGGAAACAACAGAAGAGTGAAAATCCAAACGAGCCCCTGGGCTGGGTCGTTATTCCCGGTGCAATGACGGTCATTAAGGCCGTAACTGGTTTCCCCAGCCCTTCCCGTGGGCCGGGGCTCCCGGAAGCTCCGCATTCCCGCCGGGCTCAGCCAGGGCCTTTTCCAGCCCGTGCGGCTCCCGTCCCGGCCGGCGGCTCTGCCAAGCTGACCCGGGCTGTCCTGTCCGGGTGGAAAACGCTCCGGATGCCAGGTGCTGCGGCCCGATCCCAGAGCCAAAACATCCGGGAAGGGGAGCCAAGGGCGGCCGGTGCCTCGCGCATGGCCTGGTGTCACCCTCGTCCCCGGGTTCGGGAACGCCGCGGAGCCGTCGGCGTCGGAAAAGGCGCGTCCTGCTGCAAGGCGCAGCTCTGCTTCCAGCGCCCGGAGGTGCTGGAGAACCGGAGCGGCCACCTTCCCCGTGGAAAACCGCGAGGCGCCGGCCGGCCCAGTATCCTTGGCCCGGGGAAACCGAGGCGTAAGAGGAGGTGACATTCCCTCCCGGACACACGGGCATCGCGGGCCGCATTTGATGGAGCCATCCCGCTCGCTCCTGCCTAATAGGAATTGCAGCCGGGGGAAAAGGGGGAAGCGAGACCTGGAGTTTGGCAGCCCCCCATTCCGCACCCAGCTCCCACGCGGGGACGTTCCCGCTGTCCCAGGGCTCGCTGGCCGCAGGAAAAGGCGCTGGGAAAGGCACCGGCTTTCCTCGGCTCCGCTCTGGAGGCAACAGGGCTTCTCCTCTCCCTGTCCTGCCGAAGAGGGGAGAGGCGCCGGGATCGGCTGCGGAGCCGGCCCGGAGCGGCCCGGATGAGTCAGGGTCGGCGCCAGGGCTGAGCCCGTGGGAGCGGCCGAGCAAACACGACGGGAACGGAACCGGGGCCGAGGCCGGAGCAAAGGGCGTCCCGCCAGCCCGGCCCGGCGGGAGCAGAGCGCACGGATCCCAGGAAGCGCCGGGACGAGCGCACGGAGCTCGCGGCTGGCCCGGAGCAGCGGCGCCAGCTCCCGTAGCCAGAGCTCAGCTCTCCTTGGGGACACGGTGGTCCCCATGTCCCCAGCCATGCGGGGGGAGCCGCTTCCCGACCGTCCGGGGGGGTGTCCATCCATGGCCAAACTCCGCACCGGGTGGTTGGGATGCTCCGGGGTAGCTTGGGGCATCCACGAGGAGGAGCAGGGTGATCTGGGGGCTCCTCCACGGTTTCTGTGCTGGAATCCCGGCCGCCTTTCCCGCACAGAGCTCATCCCGTGCCAGAGGTGAGGCCGATCGAGGCCAAGGCCCTCCCGTCTCCAGACACAACCCGACCCAATCCGTGCAGTCCCATCCGAGGCCTCAGCACGGCACGGAGAGAGCTTTAAATCCCTGCGCGAGGATCCATCGGAGGGAAAAGCCGGCGCCGGCAGTTGCCGTAGCTCCAGCTCCGGCAGCATAGGGAGAACAGGATTCCGGAGCGTTGGGTTTTTGGGAAATGGGACAGGATGAAGCTCCGGGCCAGCGGCAGCGCGTTTTCCTTCTGCTGCTTGGGGTGGAATCCTTGGAGCAGAGCAAGACGGGTGAACCCAAAAGCTTTTGCCAAAAAGGTTTCCATGGATCAGGAATGAAGGGCAGAGGCTTCCAGGTGAGGAGATCCCACCACAAACAGGGGCGCCCTGCTCTCCGGCAGCATCATCCCCACGCCAGAATTCGGGACCAGCTCGGGACAGGACCGTCGGAAAAGCGCTGGGAAGACAGAGGCTGTGCCAGGGAGGCCACGGCACCAGCTCCCAGCTCTTGGCCGGGCCTGGCCCTACCAGGTCCCTCCCAAATCCTCGCTGAGCTCCAGCTCCGGCTGCGGGAGGAAGCCCCAGGCCTCCTAAATCCGAGCAACAGGCGTTTTTTCTTGGCTGGAACCGGCCCATTCCAGCCTGGAAAACACCCCTGGATCCAAGGGTTACCAGCAGGGCCGGCCTCAGCCTTCCCTCCA